TCAATGTATAGTCCAAGAAATTTTAAAAATATCCTTTATTTGAATCACTTATACGTTATTGGAACTCTGTGAATTTCAATTCCAGCCACAAATCTCTACATATTATTAAGTTATAGCTAATTCACAGGTTGATATGACATGATATATGATTAACTTAATTTGTATGGTTCAACTATAGATATTTTCTTTTCTTTGTAACCCATGTACATGGATATGTTTACAACATGTTATTTTTGTTACCCACTTGAATACATTTTGTAACATTGTGTTATGTTGTTGTTAATAAATTCAAATTCAAACTAAAAAACTAACACAGTCAAGGGCTGCTCCATTTATGAATACTTCACCCGGAAGTGAGTCAATAATATTGCTAAACAACACGTAATTGGTTTCCCCGCTCCCGTGCGAAGCGCGGAAGCTTTGACATTTCATTAAATTATTAGAGAAAAAAGACGATTCGTTGTATACCGTTCTCGACTCTAAATCCTTGTCTGAATTAAGTTCCTCCCCCCCCTCCTCTCACGCGAAGCGCGGAAACTTTGACGTTCCATTAAATGATTAGAGAAAGAAGACGATTCGTTGTACCGTTCTCGACTCTTAATCATTGTCTGACCGACATAATACATCAAACCGACTTCAAACTTCTGCATTGATATAGTACACGAGGATTGATACCGACAACAGCAACATACCTATGTGTATCTTTCTTGCTCCCTCGACGACGCGACTCCATCCAACAACCCCCTCTCTCTCTTACTCCCACCCCTCTTCTCCCAGGCTCTTACCCCCTCTCTCTCCTCTCTTTCTTCCCCCATGTCTTTTGTTTCCCTTTTCTCTTCCTTTTTTCCCCATTAAAAAAAAAAAACTTTCTTTCCTCTCCTTCCTCTTTTTCTTTTTTCTCCTTATACTTCTCTTCTCTTTCCTTTGTTGTCCTTTTCTTTTATTTACCTTTCCTCTCCTTTTCCCCTCTCCCTTTTCTCATTTTTCCCAACGGCAGCTCAATTTTACCAACAATATCCTGACAGGTGGGGGTGTCGCCCCCTTTAGCGACGCCCCTGTGTTCTTCATTGTAGCATACTCTAACTCATTGTTTAACTCATTTTTATTATGTATAACACTCCTTCCCTATTAAATCTGTATTTTAAACATAATTAATTGCATCGCTCAGGCGCGGATCCAGGATTTCTTAGGGGAGGGGGCCCAACTTTTTTTTTTTTTTTGCTCCCGAAAATTTGAAAAACGCGCCGGCCGAAAATTCGCTCAGTGGGAGGGGGGGGGGGGCCCAACCCCCCAAAAAGGTAAAAATCACGTGATTTTACATGATTTTTTTCTCAAGGGGGGGGGGGGGGCCCGGGCCCCCCGGCCCCCCCCCCCCCCCCTGGATCCGCCACTGATATCGCTACCAATCACATAACTCCAGAGGATTTGTATACGGTCCCGGAAAACACGCTCTCTAGGATCGAGGGCAGCACCCCTAGGATATTCATGAGTGCCTTTTTGGTTGCACTAATTAGTCGGTGTAAATTGAATTCATCGGTATATGTACAAGGCCTGTACAAGGCCACCGACAAATTTATCGAAATTAGTCGGTGGACTTCAAAATATTAGTCGGTGTTTTCCACTATTCCAATTGTTTGATGGAACACCCCCCCCCCTTTCCCGGCTCTATCGGTAACTAGGAATACAAACTTATTGGTAGCATAAATATTTTATCATGTCCATTTATTCGAAATCATCCCAAAAAATAATCAAAGAAAACAAAAATCAAGCAAAATATAAACACCCTCATAATTGTAAATATATTACTCATTGCGATGTAGTATCGAAAATACCTTCGTAATTATTTGCTATATAATGTACGTTTATATATAACCCTGGTGTTCTCGTGTGTGGTTGTGGCTTCAATTCATACACTGCAAGATATTCGACACGAATTGCCAACACGAGGGTAATTGCGTTCGACCAATTTTGGAAACAATTTTATTGCCCTACATGGCTACATTCTGTCAGATTAATAATTATGATCAAAATAGAAATTGTGTCATAAAATGAGCAAAACCTTACTAAAGTTGGGCACAACGTGGGCTAAGAATCGGTCAAAGTTGGTCTTACAAAAAGGTAGCAATTTTCATTCACCCATTGCATATTTTCAAAAATTAGTATTAACTTGATACATAATTTGACATACCGGATTTAGGGTAAAGTAAATTGTTAGGCCGCCCATGTGTGAAGTTAAAGGCTAAGTCCACTCCAAAAATAATTTGCTTTAAATAGATTCAATAAAAAAGAAAAACAGAGGCCCCCAAATTGAGTAAAATCGGATAACTAATAAGGAAGTTATGAATTTTAAAGTATGGTAAAATATAGAACAATGGAAATCACTTCACAAATTGCCAATTTACTTATCAGTTTGTGACGTCATTGCCTCACTATTTATCGATTGCTTTATATATTTTTAACCCATTAATTTCCCTTTTTTTTTTATTATCCCCCAAAACTTGATTTCCTCATGCCTTTGCCCTGATTTGTATCATATTACGTGTCACACAATAACATAATATTATTACTAACAATATAACCTGGATGCTGGTGTGAGGAAAAGTACGATTCTTAAGGGGAAAATGGGAAATTTATAATATCAATATAATATTAATGGCTAGTGAGGCAATGACGTCATAGACTCATGAGTGAGTTGCCAATTTGTCTTGTGATTTTCAAAGTTTTTCTTGTCATTAAAAATTCATAACTTTCTTATTAGTTATCCGATTTTGCTCAAACTTCTTTTGATTGGTTTGTCTGATTTTTCTGCTTCTATTGAAAGTAAGTTATTTTTTGGAGTGGACTTGCCCTTTAAGAACTTGTCACAGGAGCGTATTGTATGGTACAAACTTTTCAAAATGGCACTATCATAAAATTAATGTTCCCAACTCTGTTATGTAGATATTTACTATGATAATTTGCATCACAGCCTAAGGCTGACTTTTTTGCATCGAATTTTACGGTTAGAAACTTTACATTAAGTCTGTTTGGATCCTTAAGGATATTAATTTATATACTTTAACACAGAGTAAACGCCCTTTTGGCAGTGAAAAGATATATGTATAGGATAACATTTTACACAAAATATTATAGTAGAAATAATACACGTGTGGATATGAATTTAAGCTATTGAATTGCATCATATCTTAAAGTTAATATAAATTCAAATTCCAGAGTCTTCTTTCTTTACATAACTACATGTACTACCACCATGATCAAAGTGTATTTATATAGGCCTACTAATTTAGTTCAAAACTGCAAAGCGAATGGAGACAAAATCATGGAATCCGAAGGAATTTTATAGCTGCAACTTTCAATTAAAAAAAACCCACTAATCAGTAATCTATACTTCTACTAGCTATGTAATTACATTTCTCAACTATATACTTGAAAAAACTATGTTTGTAATGTGCTTTTGCAGCCTCCATCACGCAAAAGCACATTACACATCACGCAAAAGCACATTATTTATATATATATACATTTTTTTCTTTTCTTTTTTTTTTTTTTGGGGGGGGGGGGGGGGTGGTCATTACCTTACATACCATATAAAATTACCTGCTAGTCATGTACATGTAGTTTCTTGCCTGTTCTGAATACTATAATACACGAGACTGCGCTCACCCATATAATTATGGTTAGACATTATAACAAGAATTTTGTTTCAGAACAATATTTATCCCTTATAAAAAAGAACCATGGTAACCATGGTTTTTTGGTCCAAATTACCATTCACCATGGTAACCATGGTATCAAACAATGAAATTCAATGACAATTTAATGTTTGATACGATGGTTCCCACGGTTACCATGGTGGATGTTAATTTGGACAAAAGAAAACATGGTTACCATGGTTTTATAGGGATCACACATAAAGTTTTACAAGACATAAAAATCAAGGTACTCAAAACGCAATGTCATATTTTGATTTACATGCACTAGCTACACCACTTGACTGCATTAACAAAATTGCATATTCATCGTCTTCAACAATAATTGAATATTCTACACACAGATTGCATGTTTTGGGGCAAATGTTATCAAATCGGATGTAAATCGAATCATACATTAACTAAACAAGACAGTGCATTTACAACTCCAAGGGTCACTTGTGTATAATATTCACATGCATGAGGAAAAATCTGCTTAAACGATTCTTAAAAAGTTAACTACATAATTAACTATACATGGCAAAGTCAAAGGAACTTCCTTTCGCCAGTGTCCCATCCATTACCAAGAATCATAGAAACTGAACAATAATTTACACCAAACGAGTAGTTTTCCTCTGATTCAAGCTCTAGCAGGACTATTAGCTTGATGAAATAAACAGAAATACTAACATTTTGATCGTACTGTACAGTGTGAGTCAAAAAAAAGTTTACACCTAGAAAATTGCCTATTATTTTAAAAATCATCTATGAACAGTAAATTATTATACATATTATGAAAGAGTGTTTTATCCCAAATCATTTGGTATCATTTTTGTGTTGTTTCTGTTCATGCTTGGATGAACATGATGCATTGTTTGCGAGAGTGCAAAAATCGCTTTGCGCCAAAGTGATGCCTATAACATGTATTATGTTGGGATTAGCGCAGTGAGAGAATGAATTGAATGTATCAAATGAAATGCATTGCATATGCTTTTGCAGAAGCAAAGTCACACACACACGCGCTCAAATGTTCATTGATATTTGATATTCGATATTTGATATGTATTTTGGTAGGGATGTTATTTGGATCTGCAAAGACCGAATTAATAACCAAATCCTTATTGTTTTATTCAAACATCACACAAGCAAGGCGCAAATCGTTTTTTGCACTCTCGCAAACAATGCCTCCTGTTCATTCAAGCGTGAACACATACCACACAAAAAGATACCAAATGATTTGGGATAAAACACTCTTTCATAAGATGTATAATTATTTACTGTCCATAGATGATTTTTAAAATAATAACATGCCGAAATACGAAATAGATGGAGGTGATGCCATTAACCCCGTTAACTGGTGTCAAATGGATCGAACTTGCAGATGAGTTTGCCAATGTTTTTCTTCTTCTAATATGAACAGGTGGGGGTGGGGGCTCTCAGGTTTTGAAATTTGCAGACAGCATTTTGTTGTTCTATATCTAAAATGAAATATCCTCTCTTTTTGTTGCCAATAGAAGTTCTGAATGGGGTGTCACATCCAATACCCCTAAAGCCCCCCCCCCCCCCGGAAGTAAAAAGTCTCCTTATCAACCAGTGATATGCAGTTTAGATGTAGGGAACCTTGACAAAGTAAAGCCAACATCCACTGGCTAATGCAAGCATGCTACGGGACAGGCAAACCAAATAACATGCGTTGCTACCAGTGGCTACTTTCTGTTCTTCAAACTGTGCTTTCTTCCTTAGATCAAGGCCTTCCAGTTCGTAGAGTGCGATCTGAACTCTACCCTTCTTGACTCTTGCAATGAAGACTCTGTCCTTACTATCCACAGCAGGGTAGAGGTATTCGCCTTGGCTAGCTCGAATGGCTTCTCCTGCCCTACCATCCCTGTCGTAGACCTGTACCACACTAGGGTTGGCATCACAAGAACTCGTGACGATGGCACCTGACATGGTAGCAAAAGCTTGCTTCGGTGCGCTGGCAGTCGGTACGGTGTGCGTCAGGGTTTGACCACTTGACTCATAGATGAAGACCTGGTTTGACTTATTAGCGACCAGGATCTCATCTGAGGGACCTATGCTCACCCTGGGATAGTCGCCACCCCGTGGTATCTCCATCGTTGCTAAGCGAGATCCATCCTTGGCATGCACATGGATTTCATAGTAGGAATTGGAAGATACCACCATCTTGGACCTGCTTTGAAAGGCAATGTCGTAATAGAACATTGACGGTAACTTCTGCATGTCCTGCTTCTCGCCATTGGAATCAATGCTGATGACACTCTGTCCACCGTATTGGGCAATAACAACGCTGTTGATGGTTTTCTTGACCATTCCTTGTATGTGTTTAGGTAGCTCGAATTTGCTGAGGACTCTACAAGACGGATTTGAGAACTGCCCGATTTCTTGATGCATATCATCGGTAGGAAGAAATCTCACTTCTTGCACGCTCTCCACTATATCCGTTGCAGACGTGTCGTCAAGGGTCTCGAGCAGAAGATTGTCCAGTTCCTCGCAAACTATCGAGTGTGCAGCTAATTTATCCATCTCAAGATGGCGCGTCTTGATGCCGTCCTGCATCATGGTCATTGACCGGGAGATGCAGTTGATCCTCTGTAGGTCATACTCCCTTAAGGCATCTAGGTCGCCGTCACACCTCTCCTGCAATGCATCAATTTGTCCAAGAAGCATACGCTCATCCTCTTGTAGCTGGTTAATCTTCCCATGAACTGCCTCCATGACATCAGCCCGTAGCTTCTGGGCAGCATCAAGAACTCCCTCCTTCTTGGTTTCAATGACTTCAATATTTAGCTTCAGTGATGCTATGTTAGAATCACAGCGTGTGATAAGACGGTCTACTATACCCTTCAGCTCATTCTCAACGTCGGGTTGGTTCTTGATGATGTGACCACGATGACCCACGATCGTACACTTATAGCAGATAAACATCTTACAGTCCTCGCAAAACAAATCTTTGTCATCTCGCTTGTGCACGGAGCATTTGTAGGACAACTCATCAATGCTGATATTCTTCTCCTTCACATCATCCAAAGAAACTACCTGGTGACCCTTGAAAAATGATGTTATTAACTTGCAGTGACCGCCATGACAGTCCTCGCACATGTAATGACTGCAAGAGATGCAAAAGGAAACTGCATCCTTTCCAAATTCACAGGCTGTGCACTTGAAAACATCTTCAAGAGATCCATGACCCTCATTGGGGGAACGACATTCCTCCACCAGTCCATTGACAGTAACGTTAGCGGGGAGCCCAGACACACGATCCTCCTCCAGTTTAGTCGGCAATCTGCAGAGGGGACAAACCATGTCAGGAAGTTCGCTGTGGGTCTCGTCATAGTTCTGAAGACATTTGCGACAGAAGGTGTGTCCACAAGTGAGAAGAGTTGCATCCTTGAACACTTCCAAGCACAAAGGACATGACAGGTTCAGTGAAGTCAATAACTTGTCTTCTCCCTTTTCAGCCATTACGGCTATATTTGGATAGTGCTTGCTTGAATAATGTGTATCGGGGGACAAAGTCCAAACCACTACAGATTGTCATTGAGATAGCTGCATCCGATCAGCAAAACAGTTATCTACTATCGGCGATTAATGTAGCACCACGTTATCCAGAAATTATCACATGTAGATCTATTAGGGTAATTAAATGACAGCTCGGCAACAAACGCTGTTACATCTGGTCCCTCATTGGAGATAATTTACCAGTTAGCGTAATGTAGAATGAGACTACATGCCTAAAGTAAGCTGCAGAATTATGAAAATGTCAACACTCAACCTTAACCAGATCCACGTAAGGGCGGGGCGGCGGCCGCGTTTACCAATACCACGTACGGATTTGAGTTTCACGCGTTCTTGATTTTGAATGATGAAAATTAAATGTGAAATGTAACCGTCACGCATGACAATTATGAAGCACTTAGGTCGATCCATTATTACAATGGGGAGGGGCAACATAATTTATTAAAGCGTGTATTGTATGATAAAAATTATTAAAAGCCAATCTGGTATTTTTTAGAGGGGGTAACTACCCTGATGGCCCTTGGTTCAACGCCTTTGCATTAATAGTAATTATTTATTTAAAAAAAGATTAAATGTCAACAATACATGTAACAAAATGTGTGTAAACAATCAAATGGTTTCAATAAGGCCCTGGATAAATATGAACGATCACTATATGATGCATCCAAATGTTATTACCTGTGTGATAGTTTAGGTGTCTAAGTCCAGACACCTCCCACAGACGTGTACTGAGAGATCGATTGCTCAGAAATCTATGAATGACTATTTTATTATTAGAAATTATTATCTGGCAGTGATCAAGACAATCCATTCTTTGCAGACAAAACGATTTACCCTCCTGGTTTCGCGTCAGCTTGGCATGGGGTGAATAATATCATACCATTAACCATTCAGCAATAGCTGATCACCACAGAACCTGTAATCCTCCTGAATAAAGGTATTCATTCGCATGATCGTGATATTCGATTCACATCAATTGAGAGAACTGCAAAAAGACCTACCGACATTATTCAACAATAGGATAATTATTAAAAAAGGAAAAGGGGAAATTCAGATATATTCCCGAGATAACTGTGTTGCATGAACATAATACATTATACCCCATGCATGGAAACATTGCTTTTCACAAAGAAATATTATATTAGCCCCCCCCCCCCCTCTCTTCTTTATACACTCAGACAGGAAGAATTCTCTCCCCCTCTCTCTCTCTCTCTCTCTCTATCTCTCTCTCTCTCACGTACACATATACCAGGGGAGGTCTCTCTCTCTCTTTAAAGACCGTCAATACTACTGGGCTAGAAGGAATTAGACCACATAGCGAGGTCACTGACAGGTGGCTATATATCTCATTAACTCAGCTCTCAACTAACATAAGAAAAAGAGGATCATGGCCATATAGCTCCGTTTAGTCTCATTTAACAACGCCCCCTATCGTCAGAGTCAGCAGCCTAACATGTTAGCCTATGGAATTTTACCCCCCCCCCCCAAAAAAAAAAAAAAAAAAAAATCGTTACAAATTCATTTTTTCTTTAAACGAAAAGCACATACACCCCGACGTATGTTATCACTAGCTCTTTCATTGGAACCCTCATGTCCCATTGACTTTTGAAAGTTCACCCATCGTAATTTGATAAAAATAGGTTGCAAGCTCGCCATTGCCTATATAACACATGTGAAACAAGTCGAACTTTGCCAAGCGATTGTAAGGTTTTAGGTCAAGCACACGAAGAATAAGCATGAATTATAATATATCAGTTCTGATCGGTTCATTATGTCCATTCCAGCCAACCCCCTACCGTAATATTTCCAATTGAAGATAAGCAAACATTTTGCCGAGGGAAGCAAAAAAATGAATATTCATGATCGCCATGGACTATTCAATTATTTACAGAGGGGTGCAGTTGTGCACCACATCAAACTCCCCTACTTTAAAGGGACTTTGTAACATTGTTCAGATGAGAGATAGTGGTGCTAAGGTAGTAACTTCAATGCTAGATGTACAATTAATGATAATCTGACAATTTAAGTGAAAACGGATCATTATTCATGGTACAAATTGGGAAAAACTGATCTGATCGATTCCTTAATTCTCCCAACTATATTATTCTACTTCTATTCTGCTACTTGTCAAAGCCTGTTCAGCATCAAGACAAGGACAATTTAATTACATTTTAGGTGAATGTAAATCGTCACAAAGCAATAAAATGGCTCTACATTCCATTCCAGACAGTTAAGTGTTGACAGATTTTTATAGCCTGTTTCATGTATTTTTCTCATGGAAAAACGGTTGGGAAAATTCAAAAATGGTTGGGAGAATTTACTGTTAATCACTGTTAGAGGGTGCCTCACATCGACGCCTTCAAAGAAAACCATAGATATCTTTGTGGTTTGAGAATTTGTTCAGGATTTTTTGCATATCAGAGGGTTAGTATAATAGAAGGAATATAGTAAGTAACATTTTATACAAAAATTAAGCAATTTTTTCATCAACCTTCAACAATGTTACCGAGTTACCTTAAGTCAAGTATTTCATTGTATTATGTAGTTTGGTAGGTTTATTTTAATAACTGTTTAATTATCAGATATCAATGATATGGAAAATGTTCTTGTTTTTTATATTTAGCAAAGCAATCTCACATACAAATTCACTACCAAGTGTCGTCTAATCCGCCGATTGTCGTCTGCTATATACGTCCAGCGAGCGAAAATGAGACAACCAGAGCAATATGACAGGCACCCATTGGGAAGTTTTCTATATAGAGTTAAGTAGCTACAAGTAGGACAATGGGGCTTTAAGCTGAAATAAGTTTGATGTAGATTTTACCACACATTGAACAAGGGTGAACTCTATCATTAAAAATCAAGACCCACACATTGGCACAGAAAGTTTAGTAAATACATATATATTTGATCGTACAGGTATTATTAATAAGTGTTAATATATATTTACTTGAACAAGATGTTTTTTAAAGAAATATGGGGGGGGGGGGGGGGGGGGGGTAAGAGGACACTTTTTTTTTTTTTTGTCTCGAAATTTGAAATTTGAAATTTTGCTCCGTTGGGGGGGGGGGGGTAAGGTCAACTTTTTTAGGTCAGCCATTGGTATAATTTTTTTATTTATTAATATCTAGAAGGGAAACATATAAATTGATGATCAATAAATCCAGTCAGATCATCAGATGAACTTATTGAAATTCACAAAGATTTACATGCAGTGATATGTGCTTCCATAACTTTCTTACTATTGCAGGGCCTTCAGAAAGAACTGCATTGGTGCTGATGAGGCTTCCCTGACTAAACAAGTATTATCATTATTTCTATTAAACTTTTTTCCTGATTTTTTTTCCTTTCACTATCATGATAAAGTGCTCAAGCATTCAATGAATTTCTTTCTACGAGCTACCCATTTACTACACCTGGGTGGAGAGTGGCAAATAAAAATTAATATGCTGCAGCGGGCCTCGAACTGCTAACCAGTCCAGCAATATAATTATCCACTTGACCACTATACACCTCTACATACTCAGTGTATATTACAACTAAATAACACAAATAATGCTTCCCAATGCTGTAAAGAATGCTTCATTAGATAATTCAACCTAGATCAGATGAGAGTCTGAAACCAAATACTTTTAAAACAAGTTTTGTGGTATAAAGAGGTATTTAACAGAGTTAATTCATAAGGTATCATAATGATAATAGAATATTTATTTTTAAAGTGTACAAATCACCAACAAACATTTGCTTTGAATGTTATGGGTTCCATGTCAAAACCGGTAAACTACGATCAAAATATGAGCTTCAAATCATACTGTGTGCTGGGATTTATGTTGTTCTTTTTTTATATCTTAAATTCCATATTGGTTAGCCCATGAAATACCGGATTAAGATTTTTTTTCAAAGATGGATTTATACATTCTAGCAGTACACAAACTACTTGTTAAGGTGTTTGGTAGATTTGCAGTAAGATCTGATAATCGGGTTTTAGTGTCGGTGTATCATGGGGATGGGGTTAGGGCTCCAATGGGGTTTTATGCCTCAGTACAGTCACAATTGCTGCGTTTTTATGGCAAGCCGTTTTAACATTCCTATTTCTTTTTATCAAGAATTGAATTTTTGATATCAAGAAATGATTTTCTGTTGTAAAGCAAGGTGTGAGTGAGGCATTAGTTTAGGTGTAGGTTCAGGGATGAGGTTAGGTTTGCAATCGGGTTTTAGTTTAGGTGTAGACTTAGGGTAAGGTAAAGTGTTAGGCCGCCCAGGAAGTTGAATGGGCTCTGAACCATATAGATAATGGTAAATCTCCTGGAATGGACAAAATTGAAGTATGGAAAGCAACAGGTGAAATAGGTATTGATCTCTTATGGCGGCTATGTATCAAGATATGGGAGAATGAAGAATGGCCCAAAGACTGGTGCAGAGCTATTTTTATACCTTTACCTAAGAAAGGCAATCAGAAAGAATGTTCTAATCATAGAACCATCGGTCTTCTTGTTCATGCGAGCAAAATACTATTAAAGATCATCATTGGCAGGATGAAAAGGAGGTACGTGGATGAAATGTCAGAGGAGCAAGCGGGCTTTGTGCCTGGCAAAGGTACTAGAGATCAAATTGCAAACATCAGGATGATTATAGAAAAATGTAGAGAACATAACATGCCTTTATACTTGTGTTTCATAGATTATGCAAAGGCTTTCGACTGTGTAGATCACAAGATGTTGTGGGATGATATGTACAGAATGGGATTCCCAGCACACCTGATGAGATTAATAACCAAGCTTTATGAAGATCAAGAAGTAGCTGTTCGGACTAGTGTTGGTGATACCGAGCGGTTTCCGATAGAAAGAGGTGTCAGGCAAGGATGTATATTGTCTCCAGACTTATTTAATATTTACTCAGAAGATATAATACGAACTTTGGCTGAAGGTTTTGAAGGCGGAGTGAAAATTGGAGGACAGAGAAGGCACAATCTCTGGTATGCAGATGATACAACTTTTAATGCTGAGAAGAACAAAACAGGCCAGTTATGAAAAGAATCTCCTCTTAAACACACAGAAGACAAAGATAGTAGTGATAGACAGGAATTGAAGAGATTTTAATGATTTTATTTTGGATGGAGAAAAAATTCAGGATTTCATAAACCTGGGATCACTAATTTGTTAGCGCTAAAGGATCAAGTGAGAAAGAAATCAAAAGGAGATTAGCAATAGCAAGGAATGCAACTCAGAAAATGGTGAATATCTGGAGAAGCCGGGGAATAAATAACAGCTTAAAGTTAAAGATAGCACTGACATCTATATTTCCCATTGCTACATATACGGAAGTGAGACATGGGCCATGATCAAAAGAGATGAAAAAGAGTAGATGCGTTTGAAATGTGGGTGTATCGGCGAATACTGAGGGTTCCATGGACAGACAGAAGAACAAACCGATGGGTACTGGACAAGCTGGATACAGAGATGTTGCTGAGAAAGAGTATTGCCAGAAGGAAACTGCAGTTTTTTGGCCATGTAGTAAGGAGAGATGGTCTTGGAAAGTCCCTTATATTATAGGAACAGTGGAAGCCAGGCGAAGAAGAGGCAGACCTGCTATATCCTGGTTCAAAAACATCCACATATTGACAAGGAAAAAGCAGTCAGAGGCAACGAGAGCAACAGCTGACAGAGTCGGTGATGGCTACAGCAGCGCAGCTAGCGCCACCTGACTGAAGAAGAAGTGCTATCA